CGTGTCCGCATATGGGATATGTTGTCACCTCAGCCACATTGCTCAAGAGTTTTCGACTGTCAGGCTCCTGTAAATGCTGCCTGCTTGCATCCAAATCAAGTAGAAATAGCTATGGGTTCACAAAACGGTGGTGTTTATTTGTGGGATGTTAAATCTGAGGTACATGATCAATTGATACCGGAGGTAGATGCGTCCATTCAGGATGTGGCAATTTCACCCGATGGACAGTACATGGCAGCTGTAAACAATAAAGGCAATTGCTACATTTGGTCTCTTAGCTCATCGCCAAATCAACAACTAAGTACTCTTAGCCCCAAACTTAAAATAGCAGCACATAAGCGATATGTATTGCGATGCAAATTTAGCCCAGACTCTCGACTGCTGATAACTACCTCCGGTGATGGAACTGCGCGCATTTGGGAGACTGAGCATTTTACGATGTGGCGTGAATTATCTGTAGATAATTATTGGGTGTGGGACGCAGCGTTCAGCGCCGACTCTAAATATGTGTTCACCGCTTCATCCGACAGCATAGCCCGCCTATGGAAACTGCAAACTAAGAACGCGGAAAGAAAGTACACCGGGCACACTAAAGCTATAACTGCTCTGTCATTCAAAGATGAAATAGTATCGGAATAACATGAAGCTTTAGGGAGTGAAACGGGTGGTAAGCTGTTGTGTGGGTCACGAAATTTATGTAATTGCCGCAAAGAAAAGAATAGAACAAGTGGTGGTATATGCTGCTTATTTACCACATACTTTGAAGTCTAATATTCAAGAATAAAGANAAATAGTATCGGAATAACATGAAGCTTTAGGGAGTGAAACGGGTGGTAAGTTGTTGAGTGGGTCACGAAATTTATGTAATTGCCGCAAAGAAAAGAATAGAACTAGTGGTGGTATATGCTGCTTATTTACCACATACTTTAAAGTCTAAAGGCACCTTTCCCCATGCTCTGCGATGTTTATATACTAAAATTCTTGTTTATAACGCCAGCATATTTCTACCCCAACTTTATTCTTAGTACAATAAGTAGTTTTATATTAAGCATTATTTTTACTATTTTATAAGTGTGTTAACCATATATGTATGTAATACTCCTATATTGGCAGTAAGAGCTAGTACCGTCCGAAAACACTACAGTACGGATATATCAATAAACNCTAAAGGCACCTTTCCCCATGCTCTGCGATGTTTATATACTAAAATTCTTGTTTATAACGCCAGCATATTTCTACCCCAACTTTATTCTTAGTACAATATGTAGTTTTATATTAAGCATTATTTTTACTATTTTATAAGTGTGTTAACCATATATGTAATACTCCTATATTGGCAGTAAGAGCTAGTACCGTCCGAAAACACTACAGTACGGATATATCAATAAACACGTACGAAAGAAAAGGAACACATACGTTTATAAATAAACATGTACAAAACACATATACTAAAAGGGCACTCAAGTACACAATACATTGACAAAAACGGTACTAGACCGTCTCGCTTTGATTTCGGAANAACACATATACAAAAACGGCACTCAAGTACACAATACATTGACAAAAACGGTACTAGACCGTCTCGCTTTGATTTCGGAATGCTTACACATTGAGAAGTTAGCTTACTGCCAATATAGAAGTATTACATATATGGTGTAAACAAACGATGTTGCGCCAAATGTGCAAATGCGATATTGTATAGATATACATACATACATAAGATTTCATTTATAAATATTCACAGTAGGCGTCAGCATTCAAATAAAAGGTGTAAATACCATTTTAATACAAGACGATAACTTAAGCCTTTTTAACAACAAAGCTTTCATTTTTCATTATACAAGTGAATTAAAACCTTAAATTAACATTTGAAACAACCCTTATTCAGTACAGACAATTTATTCAACATACGGTATATCCTTTGCTACGTGACACTCCTTTATAGGATCTGGATCGCTGTCCAATTTGTAGCTAAAAATACAAGTAACATCAATCGGCTTGCCTGTAGGATTAAGCAATAGCATAACTTGATTGACAAGAGACGCTGGGCGAAAGGGTTTGCAAGGCGGCATTGTTGTTGCAGTTGGTTGCAAAAGACGCACTTTGCATGGCTAAAATCAGTAATTTTTATCACATCTTCGATAAAAAAAAAACANTGCAGTTGGTTGCAAAAGACGCACTTTGCATGGCTAAAATCAGTAATTTTAATCACATCTTCGATATAAAAAAAAAACAGATTTTACCTTATGTACACTGGCTTCAACTTTGAAATCATGAACTGGCGATTTACTTTTATTAATTGCGGAGATTACAATCACTGACACTTGTTTACTAGGACGATTTCTCGTGAAGCTTAAGGTCAATTTTATGTCGTCTTCATCGAGCAGTGTGCGATCTACAGAAGTTGGTTCTACTTCATCCAAATCAATTTCAATATCAGCTAAATGTTTCACTACATTCTTTTCTTTCACAGTTTTATCAACTTCGATATTTTTACTAATTTCTGAATCTAAAGCCTGGGTCCCATTGTGGTCAATTTCCGTTGACAGCACTACATCATCATCGTCTTTACTGGAGCTCTTAAGTATATGTTCATCATCTGCTCGCTGAAGAACTTGTTTTTCAATGCTATTAGGTAGAACTTTTGATGGCGAAGTGTTAAGAGTTTTTAATGCGGCCTTTTCTTTCGCTAGGGTATTTAAAGTTAGTTTTTCTGGACCTCTGTAAATAAGAATATTTTGTATGCATGTATATTTTGTATTTATTTAACAATCCGCATTTACTCACTTTTTATTAAAACTGTATACTCTTTCTAAATCTTGCAACGACTTTTGAAAGAGATCTTCGCTTAGCTTGTCAATGTCAGGAAGCTTTCGGTAGGCACCTTTCTCCGCCACGGTCCCAGTCTTACATATTGCATTGGACTCACTGGTAGCCGATGTAGGAAACACATTTATCGGTTCTAAAATATTTAAAGAACTATAAACATTATCCATTTTAGTTGCTGCAGATAAAGTATTATTTTTTATTTCATCAGCATCAAATATGGAAGTCAAGTCATCAAGCGGATTTGCAGATGACCCCTCCACCTTTTCGTTTGGCTTAGGCGCAGTTGCGCCCAATAGCTCCAGGTCATCAATAGGAGACAGAGAACTAGCCGACGTCGTTGCGTTCGTAACATTAGAATCACTCCCAAGCAGATCTGATAGTAAGTCTTCACTTGTACTTTTTATGGGTTCCAAAGGAACACTTTTGGATTTAGGCCCGGAAGTCTTAGTATCAAGAGCAGATTCATTCGTGCTTTTATTTTTAGGCGAACCAACCAAATTCTTGTATCGCTTGATGACATTTTCCAAGGAGTCATTTTTTTCCACTGCATCAACTAACAAAAATAACCTTAAGTCAAAATGTTTGCTAGACCTAAGCAAATTTTTATACTTATTAGGACTTCATCCAAATTTCCTATTATCGCTGGCAATCGGTCTAAAACAGGCTTATGTTTTTTGCAGGCATGGTACAACTCGCCCATGGTACAGTCTCTTTCGGTATCCTGTTTTTTTCCTTCACGCTCGTATGTATTAAGCATTTCATCCAATAAGTCAACAGTTATTGTAACTTCCTGTAAAATATTTTTATACTGTATCAACAAATCCATGCGCCGGGCTTCCTGTTAAAACCAAAATTGTTTTCCTTATCAACGAAATTAAATGAAAGAAATTGTTGTTTACCTGTTTCACTCTATTTTGTATAAGCAAGTTTGCTCTTTTATAGTCTTTAGGGTCATTACTCTTTATTAGCTTGGCTAGCATTGCTTCGTCGATACCTAGCACGCTCTGTCCCTTCGCCTCTATAGCCGGCGTAATGCCAGGGTCCACTTCTTGCTCTTTAGATAGCATTTCATATACTTCTCGTATCTTACTTTTTTGAGGAAACTCTGTCGTCCACAAGAGCAAGCATTCCATGATACGTTTCTTGATTGGAGCAGGTGTGTCAGCTCCATGATACTTCTTTGAAACGAGGCGTATGAGTTGATTTAGAAATCGAAATTTAGATGCCTCATCTTGAAACTCGGAGCCGCAATTGTTCATGCATTCTTCAAGCAACTAAAATGAAATATTACGTTACTGTTTGTGCCCGAAATGATTGCACTCGTTAACAAACGTTGATGGATCTTATTGATTCTGTGATGTTACTCGAGCGAACTTTTAGCATAATCATTTCCTGGGCCCGGTCTACCAGTTGTGGATTACTTCG